TTTTTGAGGGAAGTTTTACATATACACATTTTTAAAAATTGCTTTATTAAACTCTTTCTGAATTTCACATAAATAGACTTACATATATTATTCTATTACTTCTTGTTCATGTGCACTAAATATTTGAGAATTTTTATAATAGCAATTAATTATTTTGTTTAAAAATAAAACACCAATCTAGTGTCAATAATATTTAAATACAAGGGTCTGTCTAGTCAAAAGTTTTTCCAGTAGTCATGTATGGATGTGAGAGTTGGACCATAAAGAAAGCTGAGCACCAAATAATTGATACTTTTGAACTGTGGTTTTGAAGACTCTTTTGAGAGTCCCGTGGACTGCAAGGAGATCTAACCAGTCCATCCTAAAGGAAATCAGTCTTGAATATTCCTTGGAAGTGCTGATGCTGAAGCTGAAACTCCAGTACTCTGGTCACCTGATGTGAAGAGCTGACTTACTGGAAAAGACTCTGATGCTGGGAAAGAGTGAAGGCATGAGAAGAAGGGGACGACAGAGGATGAGATGGTTGGATGGCATCACCAACTCGATAGACATGAGCTTGAGCAAGCTCTGGATGTTGGTGTTGGACAGGGAAGCCTGACATGCTGCAGTCCATGGGTTCACAAAGAGTCGGACATGATCGAGTACCTAATTTGAAAAATATTTGCTACATATATGGCATGAAAATGTTTAAGATCTTGATAAACTGATTATAAAAATTTAAAGAAAGTTATTAATAGTAAACAAAACATAATATAATTAGAATTAAGAAGAATTGGTATGATAAGTAGCTATTAAGCATATTAATCATCTAGGTAGCAAATAATAAAAATTATGAGATAATAACTTTGCTTAATTTATAAAATTTTTGAATAGCAAAATGCTAGTCAGAAAAAACAAAAAAACTTCTTTAATGAAGAAATGAAACTTCTTTAATGAAATGTGGGCATTACTATTTAGGTAGCAATTTGACAATTGTCAAGTAGAGGCCACCAAGTCTTTGAAAGATCCTTCCCTTTAATCCTGTATTTCCACTTCTGGGAATCTTTTCTACGAAACACATGGAAATTAAAAAAAAAAAAAATTAAAAAGGGTCTGTATACAATTATTTCCATTATGATATTATCATAATACTGAAAAAGGAAATATGGGAGTGACTAAATACGGTAGCCACATTGCTATTTCTGAATCTTAGTGATCAAGTGATATTAATCATTATTTTCCATATCTTGGGCAAATCTCCCTTTTAGATATTTTCAGATATAGCTTCAAAATCTAAAGGTTTTCTTATCCTATAATTTTACTGGTTTCAATAATACGAATTTCTATACAATGAAAGCATTTTATAATTAAAACATATTTATTTTCTTTTTGTAATTTAATTTAACATTTCCAAAAAACCACATTTAACATAAGGACTGAGATAACCATGATGGTGCGGTCACTCAACTAGAGCCAGACATTCAGGAGTATGATGTCAAGTGGCCTTTAGGAAGTATTACTATGAACAAAGCTAGTGGAGGTGATGGAATTCCAGCTGAGCTATTTCAAAAAAAGATGATGCTGTGAAAGTGCTGCACTCAATATGCCAGCAAATTTGGAAAACTCAGCAGTGGCCATAGGATTCAAAAAGGTCAGTTTTCATTCCAGTCCCAAAGAAAGGCAATGCCAAAGAATGCGCAAACTACCGCACAATTATACTCATCTCACACGCTAGTAAAGTAATGCTCAAAATTCTCCAAGCCAGGTTGCAAGAGTACATGAACCATGAACTTCCAGATTTTCAAGCTGGATTTAGAAAAGCCAGAGGAACCAGAGAACAAATTGCCAACATCCACTGGATCATCAAAAAAGCAAGAGAGTTAAAAAATATATCTTCTTCTTTATCAGCTATGCCAAAGCCCTTGAATGTGTGGATCACAACAAACTGTGGAAAATTCCTAAAGAGATGGGAATATCAAACCTGCCTCTTGAGAAATCTGTATGCAGGTCAAGAAGCAACAGTAAGAACTGGACTATGGAACAACAGACTGGTTCCAAGTAGGAAAAGGAGTACGTCAAGGCTGTATATTGTCACCCTGCTTATTTAACTTATATGCAGAGTACATCATGAGAAAACATTGGAAGGACTGATGCTGAAGCTGAAACTCCAATACTTTGGCCACCTGATGTGAAGAACTGACTCATTGGAAAAGACTCTGATGCTGGGAAAAATTGAAGGCAGGAGGAGAAGGGGATGACAGAGGATGAGATAGTTGGGTGGCATTACCGACTCAATGGGATATGAGTTTGAATAAGCTCTGGGTATTGGTGATGGATAGGAAAGCCTGGCGTGCTGCAGTCCATGGGATTGCAAACAGCCAGGCATGACTGAACAACTGCACAGGACTGAAATATTGGAGGATAATTTCTTATTTTCTCTTCTATTTTTATAATGTATTCCAGTGAGGAATTTTCTAATCACATTATGTCTGCAACTAAGTTAATGAACAAAATATCTTTTGAGTTGTGTGAACTTACTAGTAATTAAAAAATAAATAAATAAATAAAAAACCTTGGGGAAGATTCAGGAGAACCCAGATTAGTTGGAGAGATGCTATCCATGGTCTAACAAAGTGACAAAATCTGCTCCTAGAATTACTGCCCAAAGCTTCTGAAGGGTAAGTAAACCTCTGAGAACTCCCTTACTGGGAGCCCCTAACCCTGCCTATTAACTGCTGAAACAAACGTGGATCATTCATACATTGACAATGATCAGGGCACTGAGTCAGTCTCTAAATCTAATACAAAGATGTGAAAAAGTATTAGTTTGCCCAGATAACTTTTCATTTATTTTAGTCTTTTTACAAAACTAGGAGTGTCAAGCACTGCAGTAGAGTCAGAAAACATTTTAAGTGGGTAGTCATGACTGAATGGTAATAAAAGGAATTTATATTTTAGAGGTAATTTTAAATGTAAGATATTTGTCAGCCTAGAAATATACAGGTTGAATTCACCCTCTTGCATCCCACACAAAATATAGCAAAGGAAAACAAAATATGTGATTATTTCAAAATGGTTTGAGTGATAGTGTTTCTTGAATGACAATATTTGATTGTCTCATAGTCACAAACACAAAACTTTAAAGTTATGATGATGAACCTATAAAAATGGCATTCAACTATAACTTTATTGTGATATAACATACCATTTCAAAATTTTAGGCTAGTAGCTAATTTATTTATTGAAATTTATTTTCCAAATGATACAGAACATTTACAAGGTTACAGATATGGAGATCACTTAAGTATATGGTATCCTGTCATTAAATAAGACAGGATAAAGTAAGCCTTAGACCACCCTGTGTATACAGGCTATTGTATAAAATTAGACACTCGGACTATTTTTGGTTTTGAAAATGCTTACCAAGGTATTTGAAAAATTGCTGATGTTAATGAAGAATTTTAATTTCATAAAGTTGGAATTAAACATAGACAGAGGAGGAGGGAGCATGTGAGTAACATAGTCAGACATCTAAACGTTTCACTAGAGAACAGTTTCCTAGCCCTTTAACTTCTGCTACTGGGAAGAGAATAAACTGAAAAAACAAAATGTGTTCTTCATCAGTGTTCAAGTCAGTGGCTTTGGTTATGTAGTTTAACTTAATAGCTTGGAGTTACCAAATATAGTAGGTTAGATGTTTAGATCATATCATCTATGGTAACATCAGGATAAATTGCAGATTTATTACAAGACATAAAGTCAACAAAATAAATATATAGTAACTTTAAATCAAGCAGAAAAGATGTCTTGCTCTTTTAGAACCTACCCTAGACTTCACCACTGCCTTCTTTCCAATCCAGACCATCATCATATTAATCATTCTATGATAATAACCTTGTAACTCATCTCCTTATATCTTACTCTCCCACTGTATATATTTTCCACAAACAACAAAGTGCAAATATTTTTCAAGTGCAAATATATGGTCATATTACTACCACTTTAAAGGGTTCAAATGACTACTTTTTATTTTAAGTAATCCAAACTCTAAAACGTCCTTGAAAGTCTTGATTTGAATAAGATGGCTTTAGTGTGTTTAAAACTAAAAGAAAAATAAAAGCTCAAAATATGCACATTGACACATCAGTAATGAAATACTGCTTCTCTGTGGATATGTATTGTCAATTTATATTCTGAAATTTTTTAAGTGTATATTTCATGAAGAAGTGAAGTGAAGTGATGTCACTGAGTCATGTCCAACTCTTTGTGACCTCATGGACTGTAGACTACTAGGAACCTCCATTCATGGGATTTTCCAGGCAAGAATACTGGGGTGGGTTGCCATTAAGGTAATTTGTATTAAAATTTATAGTTAAATTTCACCTGATTCTTAAAAGACAATATAGAATGTATCAGACATAGTATGTTTGTGATGAAACATCTGCAGTGTTATGTTTGCCTCTATGTGAACTATAAGCAGTCTGACAGGGAATAAGTTATTAACACAGCAGATAACAGTGTTCAGGTCAGAGATAAGTGGAGTTACAGATTACCATGTCTAATAAATTTTCTAGGATATCTCTAATACAAAGACTTAATTTTTCTAAGAATCAGATTTGTAGATTTGCATGGCATAAAATCATGTGCCCAATATGATAGCATATCAATATTCTAGACATCTAAATTACAGTTTAAGTTGCCCCAATTATTCTTATAACTAAATCTTCCTCTATACAGAAACCATGAATTAATTAAACAATTATTTGTTAATACCCTGTTATGTGCCAGATATGTCCCTTGAGTTATAAGGATTCAAGGACTGAACAAAGCAGGCAAGAACTTGCTCCCACAGAGCTTAGATACAAATAAGGATATAGACAGTAAACAGTATAAATTAATAAGTAATTCTAACAGCAATAAATATGAGTAAATTGAAAAAACGATGTGATATGAAAAGCACTAGAGTAGGGGGCTATGTTACATTGACGGACATATAATAATTCTTCCTCGAGAAGGTGACATCTGAGCAGAAACAAAAATGACAGAAATAACCAGCAGTGCCCAAATCCACAGAATTCCCGACAGCAGCAAAAACAAGTACAGAGGCTTAAAGGTTGAATAATGTTTAAAGGTAGAATAATGCTGGGATGTTCAAGAAGCAAAGAAGGTTAAAGGAGCACAAGTGAAATCAACTGAGGGAAGAGCATTTGGGAGGACCAGATTATACAAGTGAGTGGTGAGGGATTTTGATTTTATTCTATAGGATATTTTTCTAAGAGGAAAGCTATATGATTTGACTTATGTTTGGAAAGATCAGTCTGGCTGTTATACAGAGAACTGACTATATATAGGAAGTCAAAATTGGAAGCCAAGAGAAATTTTAGAATTATAGTAGAGCCAGAGGGGGATGATTGTGATGTAGACTCCAAAGCATGTGGAAATATATAAATGGTAGAACATTTTACATATGTAAATTATGCCTGAAGTATTTTAGGCATTTAATGTATATTTTTTGAGTGAGAAAATGAATGAACAGCATGATGCATACAGACATGAAAATGGAGCAAGGTATTATATTCATAGCTACATATTTTAGGCACAAAAAATGAAACAAAGGAAAGTACTGGGAGTCTTTTAAACTTAACAAAAAGTCTAACATTTTCATATGTATTCAAATGCTTTCCCCATTACAAATATTTTGAAAATAATAAATGAGAAAATTCTAAAATGGTGCATTCATAAAATATCTGATATTTCTTAATATTAATTCTACAGGTTTTGGAGGGGTTTTTTTTTTGGTACAGTTCTGACCAAATTAAGAGATAAATAACAGAAATTCTGCATTAATAAAAACATTTTCCATTATTTAGCAATAAAAGGAAACTATTCTGAGTATATTTCACGTTTCTAAAACATCATACTCTATGTATTCTGTACATGGGCTATTTACACCCTGACATCAGACTATAAACTTGGTGTGCTGCAGCTGGTCCATACTACCTGCCAAAAGGTGACTGTTACATTTTAAGGAAATTTGTGAGTGGGTTGTTAAAAGTGCTGTTATTAAAATTGAAACTATGTAAACTTATTAGCTAATTGAAAAAATTAGAACAGAGATAGTAAATACTCAGCTTCATCACTTTGGTTGGTTTTAATCACTAAGTCATGTTCGACTCTTGCGACCCCATGGGCTGTAGCCTACCAGGCTCTTCTGTCGGAGGGATTGCCCAGGCAAGAAGACTGGAGTGGGTTGCCATTTCCTTTCCCAGGGGATCTTTTCCACCGAGACTGAACCCACATCTCCTATATTGTAGGCAGATGCTTTACCACTGAGCCACTAGGGAAACTTGAGCTCCTCAGCACCTCCTTCCAACTCCACGTTTAGGGGCATCATGTAGCAAGCTTGAACTCATACATGATGAAAATATTTACATCATAAAAATTGGCAAACACTATACACCAGGGCTTCCTCCCACCTTCAGAGGGTTCAACATTTACCAGAACATCACTAGTTACAACTCTACTGATGCTACTGTCACTGCTTACAGCCTTTGTCACTGCTATAAACTTCTGTAGTTTAAATCCAAGAAACTACCTTTTGCTTCACATTAGGAACACATCAAGGGCAAAAATGTAGACAACAGTATGCCACTGTCTGGCTTCTAGAGAGGGAAGGTCAGTTTTCAAAAGTCACTTACTCAGGTTTTTTTGCATTTTATCACATTCAAAATAATTTCCTTTTGTTAAACAGCCCTTTTAAGTGTAAAACTATTGAATCTGTGTGCTATCCAAATTCAAAATTTAGAAAAACTTTCAAAAATACAAAGATGCCATGTTCTCCTATCAAAACAGTGATGACTTAAAAGATAGAGACTGATGTTGGAGTACTGCAGTAGAAAATGCACTCATATACAATAATAATAGGAACATAAGTTGATACATATTTTAAAAGAAAATTTGAAATATAGATGTAAAACTCTTTAACTCACTGTTTGAATTTAACCTTCAGGAAGATTATTTAAATTTAACCTGCAGAAAGATTTATAAAAATTTGGGAAAATAGTATTATTTATGATAGAAAAAAACTGAAATGGGTAGATAATTTTGCACATTTGTTTGAAAGAATAGTAGTAGTCGCAGTGTTAGTTGGCTCAATCACGTCTGACTCTTTGTGACCCCGTGGACCATAGCCCACAAGGGTCTTCCGTCCATGGGATTCTCCACGCAAGAATACTGGACTGGATTGCCATTCCCTTCTCTAGAAGATATTCCAGACCCAGGGATCGAATCCGGGTCTACTGCATTGAAGGCAGATTCTTTACCGTTTGAGTCACAGAGATTTTAAATAAAATTCATGAATTTTTCAATGTTCATGAAACATAATTGATAAAATTTGGATATGACAGGATATATTCAATAAAAGCCAACACATGAAATTACAAATGTCTACTTAAAGCAAATTCCAATGAACATTAGTTAAGCATTAGAGTGTTTGGAATGTGACTATTTATTTTATTTTCCTTTCATTTTTTGCAATTTCTAAATTTTTAAAAAACATAATAACAATGTCTAAACTAAAATTGTTTTTAATATAAATAATTTAAATTCATATGAAAACCTAAAATTTCCATTTGTATTCATATGCTTTTCTCATTGCAAATAATTTAAATAATTTACAAATAAATCCAAACTTATTTTTTTAAAGTCTCGAATTGTACTATCTACCTATCTGACATTTCATGTTAATTCAACAGTTTCTTTGTATAGTTATGTTTGGACAAAAAATGCTGGCACTGTTTTAAAGGACTTTTTATTAGGCTAATGTAGAGCATATTCATCTATTTAACTATATATCATCAAATTTGCTTTTAAATCAATTACTCCATCTTTGATTTAGCATCTTCTAGAATTTCATAGTCTCATAAAATTCTCAAAATAACATTGATTTTAATCCAGTATGAACTAAACCATGTGTATAGAGTGAGAGAGAAGCAACAAAATTTTAAAAATTACTAGAGCTTTACAAATCCAAATAGAGGAAAAAGTCAATGCCTTACATATCTATTTCAAATTAACCAATGCTGTGAAAATAGAGTTTTCAGAAAAGGAATAGGTATACTGAGACAAATAGATATATTGGTAAAGGAAGGAGTTGTCATCTACTATCTTATTTTATCATTATGCTCATATGTGTAAGGTAAGGAAAGAGTGGTTAGGAAAATATTAATAGTAGTCCAATGAATATTCTTTTGATATTAGAGAAGTTTGGATATTATTATCTTTGGATAATATTATGTCTGAATATTATTATTTATTATTTTAATAAATACCATTATGTTTTGATGTTCAGATAATAATCAGTAAGTATCTGGTATGTTGCCAATGTACTTTTGTGAAACATAAGGGGACAAATATTAAGTTTCAGGGCATCTTTGATATTTCAAATCTACTTACAAATAATACTGATATTAGTGGGAATATCAGTCTCACATTTATACTTGGGAACCCATATAGGCCTAGAGACTTATGAGTACTTAATTAAAATGTGTCTTAAATGATTGGCTTACCTGAAATTTTGACTTGAGATACCACTCCATCTCCTCCATCACTGTGTGCACGAACCTCTACAACATATTCTCCATCCCTGGGGATTGGGACTTCTATGGAGTGTTTATGAGTTGAATACAGCTTGCCATCATGCTGGCCATCAGGTCTATAGAGTACCTTTAAAAGTTTCAGAATATGACTATTTAATAAATGGGTAATAGTGAACCAATTCCCTAATACTAAAATTGAATAAAGATGCTTATACTTATAATAATTAAAAACATATTAGGGAGCTATGTGTAAACTAGCTGAAAAATTCATATTATTTTTAAACCACATAGATTTTATTTATTTTAGGCTAATCCAGAGGGCACATCTTAAACATATGAATTTCATTTTTTGAAACTATCTAAAATAGAGATTAAAAATGCATTTTTTAATGAAAAAGGTATAAAATGAGGGTTCTTTCAATATATTGAAATAGTCTAAAAAATTGCCTCACAATTAGAATTTTTCACACTATTCCTAAAATTTGGTATCCATTGAAAAATGTGATAGTGATATAAAGAATTTACAGAAATAATCTTTTTTATCCATTTTTGTTCAGTTATGGAGCGTGCCTCAATACATCAAAGAATTCACTATGTGCTTGGCAACTCTATCTTAATCACTGCCAAGCAAAAATAGATTCTTTCTCTCTTCCTTAAACACTAATTATTCTAACAATTCTATTTATTAAAGTAGTTATTCTGTCTTGTTCACTTGACATTGTATTTTCCTGGAATTCACTGAAGATCTTTTCCCATTTCAAAATTTATCACAGCACTATGTCATCTGATTCCACTACACAACTAGAATAAAAGAACTGGATGGGTTTTGACAAAACAATAATAAAAAACAAATACCAATCACTCTTTGTAAGAATGAAGCTTCTGTAGGAAACAATCTAGTAATCTTTTGTATACCTTATATCCCGTCACTGTAGATTCATTTGACAGGGCAACCACATGATCCCAGGTGATTATGTAGCGTGAACCAGACCTTATGGAACTGATGATCCTCGGAGGCTGGCTTGGAGCTGTGAAAGTAATAATATGCTACTGATGGCAACCACATGCAACTTCAGTTCTGCAAGCCACATCACATCAGGAATTATAATACTGATAGTGATGTGGCAATAAAAATAGCTAATTTTGATGTCTGTACTATGTGTCTGGCCCTATGGTCTACATCCATGGTTTCATTTAATATAAATCGTGGCCCTGGGAGGTAAGGTAATATAATGATCTCTTATTCTCTTCTCATCAACCTTCAGTTGGTTGTCTCTTTTCCATCACTCTTTAGAAACTGCTATTCTCAAGGTCATCAATCACCTCCGGTTGGCCAAATCTAATGCCACTTTTTTATTCTTTTCAAATTTAACATCTTCACAGCATTTCACAGAATTGACCTTCTAATTCTTTCTTGAACATCTTTTCTTAAATTCATAATCTCTTATAATCTTTCCTCCTGTCTCTCAGGTTGCTCCTTCTCATTAATCATCCTTTGCTAGCTTCATGTCCTCTGCCAAGTTTCCCAATGTTGGGATGACTTAGGACTTGATCCTGAGCACTCTTCTCTCCTCTATGTATAAATCTCCCCAAACCTTACATCTGGGCCTATGGCTTAAAATACATATGATC